CGATATGACCTGCATCTGTGTATAGATGTGTATACAGGCATACTTCGTAATGTATGTATGTAGACAGAGAAAATGTGTATGTATGGGTGTGTATGCATACATACATTTATGTATGCATACACACATGCGTACAGTATACACGCATTTCATTGCATTACATTACACTACAGTACAATACGTACGTATATGCATACATACATACATACGTACAAACATACCTGCACACATACATGTACACATATATATATATATACACAGACATAGATACATACATGCATCCATACATACATATACACATACACACACATCCATGACATTACGATGTAATGAATTACATTGCATCACATTACTTTAAATTGCGTGCATACATGCAGGCGTACATACAGATGTGCAAGCCATACATAGAAACATCCGCGCATGCACGCATGCATGCATGCACACATGCGCACATACATATGTGTGTTTGCATTGAACAAGAGCTGCGCCACTTGGCTAACGCATGCATGTCCAATGTGCAAATGTTGCCCAAACAGGCACCTCAAGGCCCACAAGGCAGCCCCGAGAGAGTGTCTCGGAGGCACCCAAAGTTGCAACAAGAGCGCCCCATAAAGGCCCCAATAAACCCCCAACAGGGTTCCGAAATCGGAAGACATGCAAAGGCCTCCGTTGTTGACTCGTGAGTCGGATCAGGCTGACCCCGAACTTCGATTTGGCGGTTGCCCGCCCTCCACCGCCTGCCCATCCACTTCCATTATCTAGGCAACTCGCCTTGGGACTGCTTCTGGATGGGATGGTGAAAATATGTTTTTGGTCGCGACCGCGAGCGGGCACCCGCGCGGCGTCGGAAAGGTCGCGCCACGAGTCACAGCGCAAGTGTCTTCGGCCAGACGCGGGGAAAAAGGGGCCACCACACAGCGCAAGCGGACGCGCAAGAGCGCCGAAAACGAGGGGGAGCGGCAGAGAGCAACACGAGCGAAGAGGAAAGCGAAGAAGGCGGAAGAACGAGGAGGCTGGAGGAAAAATGAGCGAGAAAGAGAAACACACGCGGCGCAGCTCAGAGGTGAAGGACCAGGTATGTGACCACCATGGCCTCGTTGCACTTCGAAGACTTGCCGCGAGTGGGCGAACGGGCACTCAATACCACGCCAGCCGCCAGACGTCGGTAGCCTCGAGCTGTCAGAACCAAGCAGCCGCGATGCCCAGATGCAGTCTGCGACAACGGAGACCGCGTCCGTGGAGGCTCGAGCAACGTCCGCACCGACCCCAGGCCGTACCCCAGGGCCGACGCGAGACCGCGGGCGCGAGGGGAATCTGCCAGCCCGCGCGCCCGGGGAGGAGCACGGAGGGCCCGAGGCGCCCGGCAGAGGAGGGCGGCTGACAGCCGCAGGAAAATCGGTTATCTTCAGAGGGCGGCGGCTGACAGCCGCTGGAAGGTGGGCAACGCACGTCCAATACCGCCCGAGACCAGCCAACGGCCCCGGGGGCGCGGCTAACAGCCGCGGGCGATGGGAAAGGGGTCGCCTGAGACATGCCAAGGTCCAGCATCGCCTGAGACGTGCCTGAGACACGCCAATGCCCAGTGGGGGGGGGGCAGCTAACAACCGCGGAAGGATAGGATACGGGCCCGCCTGAGACAGTCCGAGGCACAGGTGGGGCGCAGCCAACAGCCACGGTAAGATGGGAAAGGGCGACGCCAGGACCTGCCGCAGCACGTGGGGGAGCGCGGCTAACAGCCGCGGAATGGTAGGGAACAGTTCCGCATGAGACCTGACAGGGCACAGCTGAAGTGCGGCGAACAGCCGCGGGCAAAAGGGAAATGGTTTCGCCTGAGACATGCCGATGCGCGGCCAGGGTGCGGCTGACAGCCGCGAAAGGTGGGAAGTGAACCCGCCTGAGACAAGCCGAGGTCCAGCTGGGGTGCGGCTAACAGCCGCGGGAGGCGTGGACTAGTTACGTCTGGACATGCGAAAGTTAGCTGGGGTGCGACAGACAGCCGTAGAAGGGGTACGAGTCGCGCCTGCGCGGTCGGATGGGGCGCGGCGAATAGCCGCGGGGCGACGCGCGGGTGGGGCGCAGCAGACAGCTGCGAAAGGATGGGAACGGGCGACGCCTGGGCTTGCCGCAGCATAAGAAGGGGTGCGGCTGACAGCCGCGAACGGCGGGGGCTGGAACCCGAGACCTGACGAGGCACAGCTGGGGCGCGGCTAACAGCCGCGGGCAGTTGGGATGGTACCGCCTGAGACACGCCGATGCACAGCTGGGGAGCGGCTAGCAGCCACGGGAGGGCGGGAACAAGTCCCGCCAGAGACTTGTGAATGCACAGCTGGGGTGCGGCTACTGGCCGCGGGATGGTGGAATATAGTAAGGCGTGAGGACTTTCGATGCTCGGATGCTCGGATGGGGTGCACCTAACAGCCACGGGGTAGTGGGAGTAGGCTCCGCCTGAGACATGTGGATGCCCTGGTGGGGTGCAGCAGACAGCCGCGAAGTGACAGGAAAAGGCAGGGCCAATGAGGACGAGGGAGCCAGCGAAGGAGGGACGGCCAGGCTGAGGAACAATTGGGTGCGGCTAACAGCCGCGTGAAGGGTGAAGTGGCCAGGATAAGACCGTTGTGCCCGACCTGCAAGGAGGGGTAGGGCACCACAACCCGCTCCACCCCAGCGCAGCAGACAGCCGCAACGGCGTGGAGCGGGCGATTGGCAGGACAGGCTACCGGTGGAGTCATGCAGCGGACAGTGCAGGTGTTGCAGGACGCGCTCGACGTAGCCGCCGCGCGGCTGGTGCCGCTCGTACTGGCCGTGGAAAACACAGCTCGCACAGCGTGGAATTGAGCGACCCTGTCGTTTCCGTCAGCGCCGTGTCGCTGCTCACCGTAGTGCTGGCCAGCGTGGTGCTGCTCGACCGTGTCGCACTCGAACTCGTACTGCTCGACGTTACGCTGCACGTCTCGACCCCGCCCACGCTGCTGCTATGTGCCAACGTGGGGCCCACCGTGGAAATAGCTGAGGACGTCCACTGCTCGAGACCGTACTGGTCCAGGCCGTGCTGCTCGAGGTCTCACTGCTGGTCGTCTGCGACGTACTGCAAGCCAACGGTGCACTGGAGTCCAGGTGTTGGCAATGCAGCTGTGCTGCTGGTCGCGCTCGAACTAGCCGTCGTGGTGCTGCTCGACATTGTGCTGCTTAGTTCGACCTCGTTCAAGCTGCTGCTCCCTGTCGTCATGGAGCTCACCGTGAAGGTGGCTGTAGACGTCGCATGATCGAGACCGTGCTGGCCATGACCGTGCTGCTCGAGGAAGCACTGGAGAGCGTCTGAGACGTACTGCTAGACAGCGATGCACTGGAGGTCGAGGTGGTGGACACTGTGGTTGCGCGGCGGGGCACACTCGAGCTGGCCGTCGTGCTGTTGGAACTGCTCGTACTGGCCGTCGACGACCTCGTCCCGAGCAGCGCGGTAGTGAATGACTCTGTCGTAGTCGTCAGCGTCGAGCCACTGCACACGATAGTGCTGGCCGGCGTGGTGCTGCTCGACTGTGCCGCACTGCTCGACGTTGCGCCGCTCGCCACGCCCACGCTCGCGGTGCTGCTCACTGTCGTCGTGGAGCTCACCGTGGAGGTGGCCGTGGACGTCGCCCTGCGCATGGCCGTACTGGGCCGCTCAGACTAGCCGAAGAGCTCGTCTCGGTCAGCGTGGTGTGGGTGACCTTGTCGTATCTGTCAGCGTCGCGCCGCTGCTCATCGTAGTGCTGGCCGCCGTGGTACTGCTCGACAGTGTCGCACTCGAAAACGTACTGGTCATCAGAGGCGTGCTGCAGCCAACGATGCACTGTGAGTCAGGGTGGTGGACGTTGCCGTTGTGCTGCTGGTCACGCTCGAGCTGGCCGTCGTGCTGCTGGGGCCGCTCGTACTGCGGCTACGAGACTGTACTGGTCGTGGCCGTTTTGCTCGAGGACGCTCCGCTGGTCGTCCGCGACGTACTGCAAGACAACGATGCACGGGACGTCCCAGGGGAGGACCCTGCCCTATCCGTCAGCGTCGTGCCGCTGCCCACCGTAGTGCTGGCCGACGTGGTGCTGCTCGACTGCGTTGAGCTCGTGATCGTACTACTCGACGTTGCGCTGCTCGTCTCGCCCCCCGCTCGCACAAGATGGTGAAGATACGCGAAGCGTCATTAGTATAGGCCCACACCTGTTCGATACCTTTCTCCTCTTCCTCATCCTCCTCCTCGTCATCCCACCCATTGCCGTGCATATCAGTTCCTGAGCTGGCCTAGATCTCGAACGCAATTCAGTGCGAATAGTTTTCCAGTCCAAGCTAGTTGCAGTCCGAATTCAGACGTCTTGGCACCGTAGGCATGTACCTAGACCTTCTGCTTCGATAAATGCTTTCAGGTCCGTAGCCAGCCCTCGTGGGTCCGGGGACTGGCGCCAGCCCATAGAATCACGACCCGAACTCTCGCCCCCGCGTCCAGGCCCGAGTCCCCGAGCCGCGCGTCGAGCCGCCGGGGCCCCAGGCCCGAGCAGGGGCCAGAACCCCCCCTGGGCGTTCAGGAGGGAAAAAACACACAGACACAATGAATCGTCGATCCCCCAGAAAATATGGGAAAATATGGGAAGTGTGGGGGGGAAGACAAAAACCGAGAACA